TGATAAGCATAGAATTCATTGATGAGAAATTATGTTGTCAAAATGCTAAGTCCTGACGCATGTGCGGTAAGCACTAGGAACGTTGGGATTTGTCCCGGCGCAGATCCAATCGTAACGCACGGAGTTTCGTACCCCTATACATAAAAAACGGTCACAAATCTGTGGTACGGTATAATCAGTATAATACGACCGAATCCATGGTTATAATTCTACCATGGTTATGGTCATAATAAAAAAACCAGCCCTTATCTCTATTTCATCATTATCAATCCAATACCCAATATGGCAATGTTACCGCATCACTGCCGTTGCCGTCTGTCAGTACTCGGTTTAGTCTTCAGTCCGGTCAGTTCACAATATTGAATATTCACTTCACCGTTTCACCGGACTTCTGGAGTACTAGATCGCTGGGGTTGTAATAATATTATTGTTCTATATTTGGAAATCAAGATACTCTAGTGTTAAACCAAATCATATCGATCTTAAATCTTAAAAAATTCTACGTGATTACATTGTTGTAGAGTATAACTAATTCACAAATAAAAACATTATTCGTTAGCAGATAGTGGTAGATACCAGAACGACATCCCGTATCCGTTAATATAATACATTACAACGAATTATATTATACAGAAAATGGCATCGTTGAGATCTTTGAATGTACGTATATCTTTTGTTCTGCAATAAATACGGTGTAATTAATCAAACAATGATTTATTATTATAATTCAGCGCACTCTACGAAATGCACAAGCTGGAGCCATAGATCCAATGCAAGTAGATGCACCTCCTGAAGAAAATGACAACAATGAAGAAGAATCATATGAAGTGGACATTGATTCATTTGTAAGAACTAATGTGCTTTATTAAGAACTGAACTATAATAATAATTATTATTTTGAACTTAGGATCTTGACACATATGCCAATAGTTACTTTGGATTAGCTCGCATTTACAGGCTAATTTATATAGCTGACCATTGTCCAAAACTCCGGTATGATGCATTACGTCTGGCCATATCACATGTTATTACTACTATGAATACTAATCTGTATCAAGCGCTACATCATAAGCTTCAAGGGTATTATTATTAAAAACTATAAATTTGTTTATATATAATATATATGTATATTATAAATTTTATTTTATTTTTAAAAATGTATTATGATATAGACTTCAACTACCAGATGTTACCGGAGTTAATCCAGCAGATACAGCGATTCCAGTGTTTAATAATGTTTGGTTAGAATCTACAAATCAAAAATCAGCCATGAAACTTGAAAAGCTGGATGGAGATCTTAAAAACTATAAGAGTAATTCGATTAAGGAAAGCATTCGTCGTGGTCATAATGAAATCGGTGACCATTACGTCAATTGTGGAGACCTCATTGAAGCAACTAAAAGTTATTCTAAGGCCCGAGATTATTGTACTAGTTCCTCCCATGTTATATCAATGTGTCTTAACATAATAAAAGTATGTACATATCAAGTATAAAATTATATAATTCTGCTGTCTCCTTTAGATAGAGTAATAATATTTTTTCACTTTAAAATACACACAGATACTCAAAAATATTCACGACAATAAAGGCATACTATGTTTTTGACCGCATATTGAAATATTTTAATTAAAACTCAATAAATTACATTCACTATCATTTTATCGACAAACAATTATTAGGAAACAGTTTAAAAATAACCCTTAATTGAGTTTTTATGGAATTATAAATTTCAGTCCCCCACGGTCATGATTTTTTTTTTTTAAATAGTATTTTTAATAGACAATGAACTTTGAACATTTATATATTACTGGCATCAGATTGTATAGATAAGAGTCATATATAATTTAAATTTATTGCCTAATTGAAGGTACTTAGCTATATTATGTAAATATTGTGTATTTATGAAACAATGAATGTATTTATAAAAGCCTGATATTTTAGACTGAAGTGTATGCTCAAAATTTAACTAATATTTTGCACATTAATTGTGTTTGATGCTCATATTAACATTTTTGTAATTTTCTACTTAATATTGCTGCATTTGGGTTTAATAAAAAATAACTATTGTTCTTCTCTGCAGATGTCTCGTTCCCTCCAAATTTTAAATAATATTGCTACTTTAATTATTGTTAGTACCTTCTATAATATTTTATTTTCAATATTCAGTTGACTTTTTTTTGTAACATTAATTTTTGATGATCAATTTATTTTTTATTAGTTTAAGTATTCATTTTAATAAAAAAAATTTATCTGTTCATTGCCAGGTTGGCATTTATCTGCAAAATTGGTCACATGTTATCAATTACATAATTAAAGCTGAATCTACTCCAGACTATATGGAAGTAATAATAACTCAAATTATTATATTTATTAATAATATATTAATTTTCAAACATATTTATAATTTGTATTTGATTTTTTTAGAATTCTGAACTCCAGACCACATATAGTTCTACACTTAAATGCATGACAGGTTTAGCTGAACTTGCTGGTCGTAAATATAAATTAGCTGCTCAAAATTTCTTGAAAACTAATCTTGATTATTGGGATTCTTATGACATAATGACGCCTAATGATATTGCTATTTATGGAGGACTTTGTGCGCTGGCTACTTTTAATCGCTTAGAACTTCAAAATAACGTAATTTGCAACAAGTAAGTTATTCAGTACATGTATATATTATTATAAGTATAATGATATTATACTTGTTTACATCATCTAAAATTAATAGGGACATGGAAATCAAAGTTAAATCAATTATAAAATAAAAAATATTATAATAGTATAATACACAATAAGGAGATAGCGGATGCGGCAATAGGTCTAAATGGCCTGGATTAAGCCTTAAAAAAAAAAAAATACACAATAACACTTTAATATCTCATTAAATTAGCTTCTTATGCATTTAAATACATGTTTTTAATATTACTATTGTATAATTGTATTATTATATGACAAGTGGTATTCATGTGTATGTGTTCTACTATGTTTTGATGTTAATAATGCCCATTTAATAATACGCATATAGCCACTTGCTCGATGTGTCGCGCTCAGAAAAAAAAACAAACAAAAATATCCCTCTACTTGATATGCGACACGATCTCAAGTAGTTCACAGAGTTACTACCAAATTGTTATGACAATAAATGAAAAACTCGGGCTGCCATCTTAACACTGTTATCTACTTAAGGTGGCTACTCGTGCATAATCGCATGCAGACGAAAAACCCGGTAGACCGCTTACGACATGAACGCCTGACTGAAAACATCACTAACTGAATTATTAAAGAAAAAAATTACTTTATTACTACTGATTACTTTTTATATTAAAAGGACAACATACCTAAAACGAAAGTCATATGACAACCTAGAAAATGCACTGTTATGAATATTATTCATGTTATATCTCTCTCTTTCACTCTTGGCTATACCTTTTCTAATATCAATCATATCCATGACTCCTAATTTAGAATATAGGTACTCATATTTTAATTAATTCTAACCCAAGGTATGTTATTTTGTATTGTGTGATGTTTGTCTTATGTTTATATCTCTATATCTCCGCACTTATTCATAATAAATAACACATACTCAACTATTATACTATAACTGTGTTAATAAATAAAAAAATCAAAGAAATAATGTACATTTTCTATTATTCAATTACTTATAATGGGCTAATAACTAGTATACTAAAAATTTTAATAACTAAAATCAATGTTTACTGTATAATATATGTGTATCAATATTTATATTTATAATTTTGATTTGATTTAATATCATATTCTTTCCCAAAGACTAAAATACATGTAGATATTTTATTTACAGTATTATTATTATTTTTTAACACTTATCACCATGTATATTACTAATGTTTTTTTATAGCTCATTCAAATTATTCCTTGAACTAGAACCTGAAATACGTGATGCGATTTTCAAGTTTTACGAGTCCAAATATGAAGTCTGTTTAACAATTTTGAACAAAATAAAAGTACTTAACATTTATTTGTATATTAATATCACATTGTTATGAATGACTATAAAATCTTTACATAAAACTAAGTAATATATTTAATTTTAGCCAATTTTACTTCTTGATATGTACATTGGATCTCACATAAACCAGCTCTACTCTAATATAAGAAGTAAAGCAATGATTCAATATTTCTGGTGAGCAATATATTAAACAACATTTAAAATTTAAATCATAGTTTTAATAACAATAAATTTTACTATTTATTTTTAGTCCATACGACTCTGCTGATTTAAGAAAAATGGCATTATGTTTCAATACTCCTTTGCCTGATTTAGAGAATGAACTTATGCAACTAATTTTGGATGGTCATATCAAGGCTCGTATTGACTCCATTAATAAAGTAAGTCTAATGTATTTGACTTTCAAACTTTGATCCTAAAAAAACTGATTTTTTCTTAAGAAGAAATTTGAAAAGACGTGTGACAGTAAATGGTAAAAAAGTCCAAAAAAAAAAATAGTTTAAAAAAAGTATTATTTATTAKATATATACATAATTTGCATTAATCTTTATCATTATTTTAAAATTACTTATAATATATCATATTATTATTTTAAAATTATTTTGTAAAAAATTAACAAAAAAATATTTTACTTTTTATTATTTTTATTAAATTTAGGTAACTACATAAGTACATGTAATTTACCATTATCGTTAATACTCCCTATTCCTTTTCTGTAAACTATGTTATGTATTTTGTAACATCAGTTCCAGTGGTTCGTTATCTGCAGATCTTTGTCATAATGTAATGACATTAATGAAGGCAGTCTTCCAAAGTATTTTATTTCCTTTTAGATGTTAGCCGAATATCATTTAATTCTATTTTTGCGATATCGATACTTATTTCCTGTTGCGTTTTATCAATTAACTTCTATATTGTAGGATGACTATGTCCCATCACATGTTTGAATCTATTATTCCAGCTCTCTTAAATATTGTTTGTTTGATGTTCCACATTTAATGTTGATTCATGCACGTTCCATACCTCTGGTGGTTACAACGCTTTTATATGGCATAGCTTTACACTCCCAAACCCGTGATGTATATATAATCAAAATATTCCATTAACTCATTAGCTTCTGGTAAAACAACAGTTTTTAAATTGTTCATATCTTCATAAACTTTGTGTAATGGTAAAAAGCTAGTCCATCTAGCATTCTGCAAAAATGACTAAAATCTATATTACAATAATTTTTTTCTGTTTATTCGGACCTTTTTTTCCTGATATCACGGTGTGACATGGCAAGTATTTGTTCATTAGCTTAAATTGTATGCTGTCCGTTTTGAAATTAAAATGAATTTTGGCCTATTACAAACTTTAAGGTAAGATTGTTTTCTAACAACTTTTTAGGTTAGGCGGGGCTTTAAAAAATAATAGTATTATTACCTTTAAATTTTATAGTAGGACCATTCATACTATAAAAACTTACTACACACTATTGAGAAACTAGTAAACAAAAGTTTGCCTTGTCTCACATTTATAAAACAGAGACAACAAATCCACAGGTAGCATCTAGTGCCTGAGATTTTAAACATGTACACAAAGCCCGTTTTTAGTTAAGTTAGGTAACATTTATGATACTTCATTACAAATTCAGTATTATATACATTAACTTAAACTAATATTTGTAACAAAAATGAATTTATTTGAAAATACACTTGTAATGGGGGCAATATGGCCCTATAGTAGCATCCCCTTAATTAAAGCCTTGAAAATCATTCAGCTTAAAACAAGATTTTGAGTGTACTTCAAATTTAAGATACCAACAATAATTCTGTGTTATTAGTCTCTTTTCTTCAGAACTCTGTAATAAAAAACCTTGTATTATATTTTAAAACTTTTTGAACAACCAAATAAAATGTATTATATAAAAATTAATTGTAAATTTCACACAACTATAAACAGCTTAGTAAAGCTAATATATTTSTGCATATATATATTGATTATTTAATGTATAGAAAATAAGAAAACATTGTTTTAAACATTTGATGAAAATGTTATTCAAATGTGTGTAAAAATCAATATCCTAAAATAATTATTTAGGTTTTACTCAGTAAATATTTACTATTATTATTTTACTTATTGTAATTTTGTTATTTTAGATCCTTTACGCTAAACATCCAAATCAAAGAGTAGAAACTTTTGAGAAAGMTATGTCAATGGCTCAACAATATAGTAGGTATATGCACATTTTAGTACTGAAAAGTCAAATGATCAAGCACCAGTTGAATTCAAAACTTGGTAAAGTCGAACGTCTAAACAATATTGGAAAAATAATAAATGTAGATTTTGTAAAAATATCTGGATAAAAATGACTTATGAAACATTATAAACCTGGAATATTAAGATTGTATAATAATTTTGTCATTAAACATAATAAACTTCAAACTAAAATTTTGTTTTTATCAATATTTGTATTTTTGTAAATCATTAATAATTTCAGAAAGCAATATTATTGATAAATAATGTATATATTGTTTTTTTTATTATTACAATTTTTATTTATAATTTAAAATATTAATTTGTATAGTATATATAATAAAAGCTAATCTGAAGATTGAATATGGATAACTGATAAGAATAATGATACAAGATTATGGACCAGGAAATTTTACCATTGCCTAGAACTATTTTTAACTGTTTTTTCATTTAATTTTATAATAAATGTCAACTTCCTAGTTATTTAAAATAAAAAATTTTTTCAATTACAATGGTTGTTTTAAAGCCCTGCCTAATTAACTGTACCATATTCAACTAAAAAATAATGCAAGTTACTTACTGACTTATAAAAAACATGTGCAGATAGTTCCAAAAAAATCAATAAAACATATCAACCCAATTTTTAATCAATTTATATCCTTATCAATAATCTGTTGGTATAATTTAAAAAATTGCCAGTACCATTAAAAAATGAGTATTTTTAAATTATTAAAACAAGGTATTTATATGGCTATTTATGATAATTTAGAAGCATAAAGTATTTAATATATTGCATTTTTGTTATTTAAAAATATATTTTGAGTATACAATATATTGCTGTATAATATTAGATATTAAAAAATATAAAATATAAAAAACAATATCAAAACGCTTTGTCTTAATAATTTGGGGCATTTAAAGATGAGGTGAATATATCTGATTGAGTTAGTTATGTTATAAATATTTATTTTTAAACAAGTTATCTTTATATTAAATTATTATAATTTATTTTTGACATAACAATATTTTAACACATTTTATAATGATTTATAATTGAAAAAAGTAATAAAGTTTGATATTGACTATTGTCATAGTGAAATTTGTATATAAAATATTAATGCATTTTCAGTATATTGCTTACACAGATTTACAGTTGAAATATGACTTAACATTTACATAAATAACTCAAAAGCAATCAACTAGCACTCATACTTCATAATATTATAATAGGTTCTAGTTTAACAAGGAAAAACGTAAAATAGTTTTAATGATTCCAGATATTGATTGTATTTGTTTATTTGTCACCATCATAAAATATTACAATTAAATGATTGTAAATATTAATAATATTTTTATTTTTATGTTATATAATATATATGACACATTCAAAGAAAACTGTCATTTATAAACCTTAACTGATAAACTAATTAAACGTATATTGAACACAGTTAAATGGCACCAAGTACCAGCTGATCTGATGGCCTGATTAAATCTTGTTTTATTATATTAATAATAATTCATTTTTAGTAGTCCGGACAACCTAACAGAAAATACAATATAAACAAATAGGTGTCCAACAAAAATTAATACATAAATTGTTATATTCCCGAAACTAAAATCATTCACATTATTCTTGTTCTATATTAGTATATTACTKATAAGTCTAAATAATTATTAATTAACTGTGCAATACGTCGAAAACCAGTAAATTGTTGATTTTAAATAACGCAATAGAAGATACAAAAATTATATCCTAATTTTAGACTAAACAACGACTATAACGATGTTATTTTGGTATTAAGAAAAAGAAAGTTACCTCAACGAAAAACGGAAATACGATTGGACTGTAAAATCAAACTATGGCATAAAATAGGTACCTATAATAATACCTATTATATTCTGTGCTATTACTACTATTTTCTAGTTTCTACCAAGCGAAAATTAAAAATACCTAGAACATAACAATCTTAACATAATGATTTCAGATTTCTGACGAAAGACATCGCCGTAAAAATTTGTACAACAATAAAATTACCGCCTACCATTCGAAACAAAAATACTGTATCATAAGACTAATTTATTTTTAAAAAAGTCTTCTTATTTCAAAAACTAATCAGTGTCTTTGTTTTCTTTGGGTCGTTAACTATGTGCAACTATCGTTTTATAATATTTGCAATTCCACAATTCCACTTCCATATTAAATTATTATATAGTCAATGATAAAGTTTCCTTGGTAAATGGTAGTTAAGTACCTATCATTGACTATACATTATATGGATGTATATGTAACTGTCAGTTTATAATTTATATACACCTATAATATACCAATTCAAAATTACCTACTTTAACATTATAGTTATATATAGTTATTATATAACATTATAGTTTAATTGTAGACTGTAGTTATGTAATTTTATATATAATATAAGATGATAGTTCCATACAGTCAACGACCCAAAGAAAACAAAGACACCGATCGAATGGTTTTTTTTTTTTTAAATAAGAAGAATTTTCGCTGTATGATACAATATTTTTATTTTTAATGATTATGCTGTTACCCTATAATTATTGTACTAATCATACAATTCTAAAAATATGTTTGTGGGTGAGTCATCATTTCATCAACAACTTCTACATTCGGATAATTCTGTAATGTCGTGCCACTTTGGGAGACTATTACAATCATATTATGCAGACTACAATATTACGATACTACATATAGTACATAGTATATACTTTAGCTTGTGCTATTTTTTATATATATTAAATCAGAGATGTTTCTTAATATAATTATAATAAAAAAAATTAATTTTCATAAAAAATGTTAGTAAGTGTTGAGCTTTTTAATTTCAGCACTATATGTATTTTGGCCATCTTTAATAAATTATACCTATCTTCCAGCTGCAATAGGGTCCAAATCACATAATTTGTAAGAAGATCCAAAAATACCTATATTATATTATATTTTAGTTTTAGTATCGCATGTTTTTTACTTGCTACAAATATAAGCCTGAACGCCCTGAACAAATATCTTTTACAATTTATTAAAAATGTGGGAAAGTAGAGTAGGTGAATTAATTTTTTCTGAAAACATTGCATTTAAATATTTAATAATATATATCAATATCATATAAATCATCGTTACTTTTATGTCAATGCTGACTTCCACTATTCGGCTAGAATGGTGTGAATAATAGAATTGTGGATTAAATAGGAATATTAGCAATAGGCAATAATTTAAAATAAATCTAAATATTTTGAAAATTTCACTAATGCAATAATATAATATGTATAAAACAAAAACAATTACAACAAAATAACTAAAATCACAAATTATAATATTATCAACAACTGTTCATTCAATAATTATCAACTAACAGGAGCTTAATATTAAATTTTCAAGGTTTTTTGACTGTAAAGAAAAATCGAAAATAAATTAATAACATTTTCAAAACGCTATAAATAGCACAAAAAAAGTCAAAACATTTTGATTAAATAATATCAAGTAAATTATTGTATGAATATTTGGAAAGCAACATTAAAACAACTAAAAAAAAAAAAAAACAATATTATTTAGGACTATAGTTTTGTTTAAAAATGCCTACTTTTCCTTGGTTTTTGTTTTTGCCAATTACATATTTTGAATAACAGATACTTCCCTATTATAGATTAAAATACAATGTTTAAATAGATACGTATTCATGTTTTAGTTATAAATAAAGATGTACTTATATATTAATTTAGTAATTTAGTAGTAATTAAGGTTTTAACACCGGGTAGTAGTTAAGGTCACCATTGTACCAAACCGAAACATTTGAGAGCCAGCAGGCTAGGGTTATACGATACCCACTTTTTTCAATTACAATGGTTATGTTATAAAACCATACAAAATTAACTGTACTTCATCTAATTGGCTAATTAGAGTCCTAGACAATAATTACTAAGATCTAACATCATTAACCTTTAAAACAAATCCTTATATACAAATTCCTCCTCTTACCCTTATGAACCATCGGCGTCGTATCTGCAGCTCAGCTAAACAATCAAATACTTAAACGATCCAAGAATTTCAATCAATTTGTCTGCGTAACATTGACAAAGCTCCATGGTACGTAACGGTCGTAACGAACAAACTACTCCACGATCAACTCAAAATCAAAACATTTGATACCAACTTGGAATAGTTGGAAATTTGGAATCTTAAATTTTTACCTCCCGAAGTACTAAGTATATCCAATTTACTATCAGAAATAAACCTGTAAAATTGATAGTCAAATCATTTTTTTTACCATAAATATATACACCTATACAAACACAAAGATAACAAAATAAATAACATCACCGCAAAGTCAATAGGTATAGGCACTTCCATTACTCCGCTCAGAATCTAAAAAATATCACGTCTAAATCGACTAAATTAGATGGGTAGTAGTGGTAATACTACACCTATAGAAATAAAATAGTTTGTAAGTCAATGTATAAATGTATGTTTAGTCAACATTGTAAATATACTTTTCCAGGTTATCATAGATCTGGCCATATGGGTGATATATATATTGTGTATACAACTGTATTAAAATACAGTAATATTATTTTATTATTCAAACATACAAATTTTAATCATTAATATAAAAACGAACATGGTAAATAAAATGCTAAAAGTCAACATAAAGTATCTATATTTGATTTTAGACACATAATTGTTAAATTATTTAAAACTATAAAATGGCTATACTGTGTTTTATTTGTGCTACCTATTCAATTGTAGAAGGTACAGATTTTTTAAATTAAAAAAATGAACCATTTAGAGGCTTATATTTTTTTCACTCTCCAATATCTTACAATATCTGTCGATTCATACAAGTGCGGTGATGTATATCAATTAAGTGTATTTTGCAACGAAAATAAGTGTAAGTATTATGATTTATTATGAGTCGTAGAATGAGATTATAAATTCAAAGTACATAAATATTTAGAAAATAATAAACGGAATTTAGGTACCTAATGCGTCTAAATGTTCTAATAATAAGGACATACCTAATACATAGGTATCACTATCACATTTTAACTCATTTTATATTAGTTGTTTGTGTTTTATTCTACCTACTTATGAAGTTATAAATTATAACAGGTAAGGTTTACAATTATTGAATTATTTATACATATTACCATTGATTATTAATACTATATAATATGTAGGCATAGAGGCGCTCGCTGTAT